CCCGCTGCGGGGGGGGGCCGCCGCCAGCCGGTCCGGCCTGAGTCCCCCCGTTCGCGGTCACGAGCGGCGGTCTTCCGGCCCGGTGCTTCAGCGCCAGATCGGGTTCATGGAGCCGGGGCTGTGGCTCCTTTTTGGGCTCACAGTGACCTCCGCTGCAGGTAAGCTGGGGCGGCACTCCTCTCCTGGCGGGAGAGCGCACAAACAAAGACCAGAGTCGGGCGACCTGGGGGAGGACCGGGAAGGTGTCTGCTGAGGGAGCAAACCCTCTTCTGGGCTCTCCCCTGGAGCCCCAGGGTGCAGGCGGGGGAGCACAGGGGAGGGCAAGGACTCTCCCAGGACTGAGATTACAACCGGTCGCAGACTGGAGACCTGCCACTCCGCAGACTTGTTCATGAAGTCGGGACCTTTTCAGAAAGTTTTCAAATTATTCAGAGACTGCAAACGCCTTGTAAAGTTTTCGGAAAATGTGCAAGTTTGCCATAGGTGCAGACAACTTACAGGCTTTGCAGAGAGTGGAAATATTAATGGCTTGCAAACTTTTCACAAAACAGCGCACTTAACTTGCAGACTTTTCAGAAGTTGTGCACACTGCTTTGCCAACTTCTCAGAATGTTTGGTATAGCTTGGAGATTTAGAGAAAGTGCACCTAACCTGCAAACTTTGCAGACAGTTTGAATGCTTCACCCCCCCGCCCTGCTCTCCCTCTGCTGGGGGGACAGTGCGGGCTCTGCGTACTCAGGAGCCCCTTGATTTGCCTCCTGCAGGATTTGAGCCAAGCCCCCAGCCTGGGGACGCTGGCAGGAGCTGCATGCCTCGGGCACTCTCTGTGGCCACTGCAGCCAGGTCTGAGGGGGACGGTGAAGAAACTGTGGCCGGCCCAGGCCGGTGGACTGTGTCCCCGACAGCAGCTCGGGGGCCAACCTCTGGAAGCCCCGGGCATCAGTCTGGGCAGCAGGTGGCCGAGGGGGACCCTGCGCTGCACCGAGCGAGGCGCTGCACGTGCTTCACCTACAAGGACAAGGAGTGCGTCTACTACTGCCACCTGGACATCATCTGGGTCAACACCCCCGAGTGAGTCACCCTGGGACCCGGGCTCCGGGGCCTGGCCTGCATCCGCACCTTCCCAGTGGGGCCTGGCCACCACACCAACCGGCCACTCAGCCCACAGCCTCCCCTGTGTAGCCTTCAGCTCCTGCCAGGGTCCCCTGGCAGCCTAGGTCCCATCTGCAGGTCAGGGGCGTGACCCACGTCCCCTCTCAGGGCCTGGCCCAGGAGAAACTCAATCTCTCCAGAGTTTGGATCCTGGAGGGGGAGCCCCTCCCTCTGAGTGAAATGAGCAGGCAGCAGGGATTAGACACCTGAGAAGTCTTGCTGAGCCCTTTTTCTGAGCTAGAGGAAGCCTGGAAAGTTTATCCCACACCCCCTCACATCCCTGGGGCTAGGCGGGCTGGTCTGCCTCCACCCCCCACAACCAGCCAGGTTTGAGGAGTTTAAAATTCCTTGAAAGCAGTCTGTGCTCCAGGAGCTAAGGGTGGGCTTGGCAGAGCCCCCGGGACCTCCCAAGCAGCTCCTTTCCTTCAGGGTCCTCCAGATGCCAAGGCTGAGTGGGTGCACTCTCCTGCCATCCATACGAACTCCCTTACTCTGAACCAGACAGCACGGGTCTGCCTGGTTTGGGGGCCAGCCCCCTGTGACGCCCGCTCTCTCTGGAGGCCATGCAGAGAGCGTGGCTTTGCTGTGGGAGGATTTGAGGCTCCCCTGTTGGCGTAGCCATCCGGGAACCCCATGTGTAGAGACTTCATCGGGGCTTTGCTTTTGGTATTGTTCAGATCTGGATTAGACTGGAAGCCTGTTCTTGGTGCTCTTGCCCCTCCCCCCCGGCCCTCTGCTTGTGCCCTGCTGGCACTGAGATGACCATGAATTCCAACCATGGCCCATGACGGCTGCTATGTGCCCACCCAGCCTTGGCATCTGGAGGGTCTGGGAGGAAGGGTACTTCCTGGGGACTCCCCACCCAACTGGGAGCCCCTCGGCCCTGCCAAGCCACCCAGGCACCCCTGATGTACAGGATACTTTCAAAGTCAGCCTACCAGGCGGATGGGTGGTGACCCTCCTGGACACGGTCACGGGGCCTACACGAGAAGGACCCTGGCTGGGGTCTGGCTGGGTGTCGTGATCTAGAAGTTTCTATTATTTCCGAACCAAGGGCTCCCATTTCCATTTTATTGTGTTCCACAAGTCACGTGGCTGATGCTAGTAGAGAGGTGTGCTTGCTCGGGCTGGGTCTGACCAGGGTCCCCCATGGGCAGTCGCAGGGAGGATGAGGGTCCTGTCCTGTTTTTTCCTCCTTCCTGGGAACGGAAAGTTATGTGTCTCGGGTGGTCACCGGGGTGCCTTCTATTCTTGGACAGCGATCAGGTCTCCTTTGCTATAGCTCCTGTCGCCCTGACACCTGTCCTTTCTGACTCGCGTCCCCCCCGGCATCACAATCTGACCGAATTACCTTCACCAGATAGAGGGCACCGGGCAGGCGGCAGTGGGCCAGAATCCCTGCCTTGGCTAGAACCCCAACTGTGAATCAAGGAGGAGGGAGAAAGCGAACAGAGTGGGGCGGGGTGGGCGAAGGACGGGGACTTGTTGGCCACGCCTCTGAGCACTGGCTGGGGAAGAAGTGATTCTTGAGATCCGTCTCAGAGGCGCAACACACACCAACACGCACCGCGGTCTGTCTGAAGTCCTGCCTCGTAGTTCCCAGCCGTCCTGTACGGCCTGAAATAAGCTGTGGATCTTTGACTTTCTCCAGGACAGCCAACTTGATGACTTCCCCTAAAGTCTGATTTACTTGTTCCTCTCTTCTCCCACCCTGATTTGTTTCAAATGCTAGGAGAGGAGGATTGATGCTGGTGTCTGGGTGTCCGCGAGGCACTCTGGAAACGATGACAATAGCCAGACTTAGGTGTTTGGAAATTCGATGAACAAAGCCATCTTTCAGGAAGGCTTTCTTGGATAGCTCTGACTCCTCCCTCCCTCTCTGTCGATCACATCTAGGTCTACTTTGTATTTTTTAAACATCTCCAGTTGGGCCAGCATGGTGGTTGAGGTGCCTGGATCCCACATGGCCGACTGCATAGATTTAGAGACTTTAAAAACACACCGGGTCCATGCGTCTGTGTGCCCACAATCCCGAGAGGAGAAGGGCTGATACGTGACTGTCCCCCATGGGGTGCTTTCTCCCTGCGCTCTTTCTGTCTCTCTCTGGTGAGTTCGTGCAACCTCCGGCAAAATTGGAAAGAACCTCTCTACAAGATTGCAAATGAGAAAGTGAGCTCCTGTGATGGGGCATCCACCTTGAGGGAAACGGGAGAACTTCAAAGTCACCAAGCTGAGCTAAAGGACACTGGCATTGCCTTTGGAACCTCCAGCTGGAGGTCCTTCCCAGCTAAAGGACACTGGCAATGCCATTAGGACCTCCAGCTGGAGGTCCTTCCCAGCGACTCGACACCTCCTGCCCCATCCGTCAAAGCCACCCCTGGGATCTCCTCCTCTCTGGGTTATCGCCCCTTGTGTCTTAGCAGACCCCGGCCTTGTTCCCAGGGTGGACTGCCCCTGTCTTTGCTCTGGCTGCTCTGGGAGCCTGTAGGAGCCGCGACCCTCTTGCCCAAGTCGAGAGTTGTGAACTCCCGTGGCTCCGCCTTCCGGTGCCCTACTCCCGCTGTGCCTCTGGCTGCACGGAGGCCCAGTGGCAGTCGGTCCTCCTTGGCTGAAGGACATCTGTGGGACCATCAGAGGAGGGCGTTCTGGGAGTCTGACGTGTCCATAGTGCTCGAGGGCCTCTGGCCCTGCAGGAGCCACGTGGGAGTTCTAGGGCATCCCCCCACCCCCATGAGACGGTGACCTCCTAGCTTAGACTCGAGGCCAGCAGCTGCCCTGCATGTCTTCTGGACAGAAGACCTGGCATTCTTTGTGTCTCCCACTTTCTCCACATGCTCAGTCCTTCCAGACCCGAACTGGGCGGGCCCTTTCCACCAGCACTTGCTGTGTGGTGATGCTCAGGAACACGCTGACCTGTAGCTACCTCTTCTGTTGTTCCTCGCTGGTGTGTGGTTCTGGCCCGTAGTGTTTTCTCCACGCAGGCATTGCGTCTCCCAAGGTGTGTGACTACGCTCAGGGCCTATGTGTCCCTGCACACGTGTGTGGGAGTGTGTGGTTTCCCTGGGGACCCTGCACTCTGTGACTTTGGTTGTACCCACCATAGAGCCCATGGCCACCATGCGGAACCAGACTTGTCCCTTCCCAGCCGCCTTTCCTGCCCCCGGGGTCACAGCTGATCGGTGGGGCTGGGATTTTGTGAGATTTCCTGGACCATATTAGGAACCTCAATCCCAAACACCCCCGCCACTGCCCACAAAATCCCGAACCAGAGGAAAACACATTCCATCCTATTTTCATGGAAACTTTGCCAAGAATAAGAAAAGGAGGAGCCGGGAGGAGGCCGGAAGTCCATGTGCTTGCCGGTACACTTGGGCTGTTCCCTGTGGTGTGCCTACAGTGGGGGTTCCCACTGGGAAGTTGGGAACCCTCAAGAGACAGAACCAGCAGGATATGCATGCACACACACACATCACACACATGCACACGCACACAACACATGTACACATGCACAACACACATGCGCATGTGCACAACATACACATATGCACATACACACAACACACATGAACACATACAAACACATGCCACACACATGCATAGCTTACACATGCACAAACACTGGGGAGAGGAAGCTAAAGACTTGGGGGTAGGCGAGTCTGAAATCCATGGGCACAGGTCCCAGCAGGAGCTGGCGTTGGCTGAGGGCAGCCTGGGGCAGACCTCCTTCCTCTTTGGGAACCTCCTCCTCCTCTCTTAAGGCCAAGAGATTGGATGAGCCTCTTCCCAACTTATGGAGGTTAATTTGCTTTGCTCAAAGTCTACTGATTTGAATCTTTTTATTTTTAAGAGAGATTTTTGCTACAGGGCACGTGCGCTTGCCAGAGAGACAGACAGCGAAAAGTCACCTCCCCAGATGGGATGGCCATGCCACCATATCTTCTCCTTCATTTTCCTCTCAGGATTTTGGGCATGCATGCACACATGTCTGGTGTAAGTTTTAAGCCGCCAGGTCAGGGACTTGAACTGTGGTCAACCACATGGGAGTCAGCGACATAACCATTATGCCACCTGCTGATGCCTAAATCTTAATCACATCTAAGAAATGCCTTCCTGGCAACATCTAGACTGGCACTTGACCAAACAATTGGGTGCCATAGCCCAGCCATGTTGCCATGAGATGAACCCAGTTTGGGATTTCTGACCACATCCTCCCGCGGGGTAGCTGGGAGCCCGGCTGAGTGAGTGCCAGGCTGAGACCAGAGGAGCCACAGGGCCCAGGTAAAGAGTGCACTGTCTCGCCACCCTGCGAACTGAGGACTGGACCACGCTGTCCCTCCAGCACGTGGGAGGCATGGGGTGCTCCGATAGCCTCTGCGTTTTCCAGAACCCCGGGGTGACAGGCAGGAGCGTATTTCGGAAATGTGCAGTGCAAGGTGTCTGGGAAACCTGGGCTCCCCAGCCCGCCCTTGTGGGGAACCCCCTAGAACTCGGGAGCTCTGCCCTGGTGTCCCGGCTGTGGCTGTGGCTGGGGGCGGGGGTGAGGGAGGTGCTACTGCATCTCTGTGACCCTCCAAAGGGTGCGGATACCAGTCCAGCCCCGGAGAGTGACGCAGGTCTCTGCCTTGGTCTGCCTGGCCACGTCCCATCAGGACAAGTCAGGCTGCTGCAGGGCACGCTGTGCTCATGTGATCTGGCTGAAATGGCATGGCTTCATATTCCGCTCCGGCCTGAAGAAGCAGTGAAGTGGCGGTAACAGCAGTGACTGGGGCCTCGCTTGTGCTTGGTGTCTTCTGTCACCAGGCAGCCTCAGCGCAGATGCAGGCTTTGCCTTCGGGGTTCTTTGAGAGAGGCATTTCAGCACTTTTCCAAGGAGAGACATGGCAGATCCGAGAGCCATGGGGTCCTGGACCCCAACTTCT